GACAATGTTTAGATTACACAAAAATAATATTTTAGGATTTAACTTTTCATGGATTAAATACGAACAACTTCAAATAACATTATCCTATTCTATTTGATTGGCTTCTTTATGAAATTTAAACAATTGCATAACGTCATGATAAGCCATAGAAGCGCTTGTTACAAATCTTGTTTCACTGCAGTTATGCAATTCAGGATGACATTTCTTTGGTTACCTACATGAAAACTATTTTCACACTTAAGGCATCCGACCTCGTTCGAGTACTATTTTTTTAAAAATGGTTTTTATTTTAACTATAAACATATTAATTTGAAGATAAGCATATTAATTGATGAAAACAGCTTAAAACGTAAGGCTGAGTAGTTTTAATTTTGAAAAATAATGAAAAAAAGGATAATTTTTCCTTTACGGCAACAACCGCAGTGAAAAATTTATGTATAAATATGCAGTTTTTTTAATTTGTATTTATATTTACACTTGTTTTGTATGCAATGAAGCGAAATAATTAAGAAATATTCATATATTCTTGAGATATGTCAAAATGTATAGTATTTACCGTATATTTTCCTATTATTGCATCCAAAATCTAAAAATAAAAAGTAACAATTCAACTTCTAATTAATATTTCTAAAATCTTCCGCTTCAGAGCATGCATCAGATTACATGAAACATGTATAGAAAGCATCATTTAATTTTATCGATAAAATTTTGAGTTATGGCTGTTACTATTGGTTATATTTACAGAAAAAACATTTTTTCAGCAAACAAGTTTAAAGTTTTCATAAAACAATTTCTTAGTGAAAGAAGCATCCCTGATAATTAAAATTCCCCTGCTTTGTAACTTGACACCTTGTTTTTTTCTTCCCACACTTTGAACCTTTTCTTTCTAACAAAGCATAATTTTTCCTTTAGTTTTTTGTAAAACTTGTGGAATACCACCAAAAATCAAGATTTTGCACTTTATCAAGTTTTCGAATTCTCTGCTCAGTGTAAAATTCAGGGCACATACCTAACCTTGAAAATGCTTCAAGCAAACCTATAAATCCATCCTTAAATAACACAACACTTACATTTGCTCCAAACATTAATATTCGCAAGTTTATGAATGTTTCTTTTGGAACAATTTGCAATAAAATGCCATTAAAACGTTCCTTGATATTTTGAGTTTTGCCATGTAGACACTTTCTAATAACTCTTGTTTATGTAGTCAACTCCATATATGTAGGTTTAATTAAATTCAAAATATATATTGATATACCAGAGCTTTTGCCTAATTTTTTTCTTTCTGATTTCTGCAATCACACATTCATAGTTGCACCAATTCATTGATTATTGAGTAGGGCATTGGCTTCGAAAAAGAGCTACAGTGGAACAAGCAGTTAGTACAACCTGCTGCATCTCAATTAAGTTTGGTACAACTCTAATATACGCCCTAATTTCACCAAATGTGGCGATATGTGTTCTGCGCTGGTTTTTGGCGCGATTGCGTGTTCTATGGCAACCCTGTTGACGTTGAAAAATCTTTCGCTGGAGCTCGTTGGTTCGCCTCTGTGTCTGAGAAGATGGGAGGGAAAGATAAAATGGTAGTTGTTGAATTGAAGTTCGGCAAAAGGAAATATGATTGTGGCTATCCTGAATTTAATCCTTATTATGAAGTCACACACGCACACGTTGCAAAATGCATAGTTATTTCTTTCGGAGGATTCTTTAATTGTTGGAAATTCGGCTTTGTAGACAGGCCAAAAATATTGAGAATACGGGTTTTTTTTAACTCATTTCTTAACAACGATGTATTAAGAAAATTCGTAGCACGTGCAAACAAACAAACAAACAAACAAAAAAAAACATAATGCAACAATCCACGCTAAAAAAATAATCTGGTGCCGACAAAGAAAAGAGTGGGAGAAACAAGTTCAGCGCATTGGATTGGCTGGTTAAGCGGCGAGTTGGGAGAAACCGCAGGTTACTGGATTCGAAGTAGTCAGTAGTTGGCGGTAAAACACGATGCAATTGGCGAAAAATTCTAAAATTTCGACAAAAATCACTAAAAACACTTGAAAAAGGAAAAAAATCATAAAAAATGGATTGTGATCGTAAAGACAAATGCATTTTCGTAAAAATTACGAAAAATTCGTAAAAGTTGGCAGGTATGCATATCAGTTATTCTTAATCAAAATAGCATTAAATGTAATCTTTTGGCCTATGAGTTTCATTAACAAAATCTATTTTCAGCATATAAAAAGAAATTTTTGTTAATTTTTCCTCATCACCATTTCTTAGAGCATTAAAACATTCTTAGAGCATTTAAAAATCTATAATCATAGCCAAGCGTAATGTTTTTTTTTTTTTTTTTTTTTTTTTTTTTTTTTTTTTTTTTTTTTTTTTTTTTTTTTTTTTTTTTTTTTTTTTTTTTTTTTTTTTTTTTTTTTTTTTTTTTTTTTTTTTTTTTTTTTTTTTTTTTTTTTTTTTTTTTTTTATTTTTTTTTTTTTTTTTTTTTTTTGTTTTTTTTTTTTTTTTTTTTTTTTTTTTTTTTTTTTTTAATTTTTTTTTTTGTTTTTTTTTTTTTTTTTTTTTTTTTTTTTTTTTTTGTTTTTTTTTTTTTTGTTTTTTTTTTTTTTTTTTTTTTTTTTTTTTTTTTTTTTTTTTTTTTTTTTTTTTTTATTCAATTCCTAATATAAAAAAAAGTTTAGACATCATTGCATGAGTTATTACTGAAGCTGTCATGTATTGATAAACATGCAGTGATGAAAGCAAAATATCATAAATAATGACTCGCCGATGTAAAACAGGTGAATGGTTCATATGCCAAGCAGACAGTAAGCTAGGGAGCCAAATTATTAATCTTGCAAATTTGTGCTTACATAATTGTTTTTCTATAATGAGGTATTTTATTTAGTGGGTTTTCATCCGCAGAGAACCCGTTGGCGCCATTGTATTTTTACTCGCCAAGCTCGCGGTTCAGCGACGATGAGCCGAGCCTGTAAATGTGATTTTTAGCGCATGTAAATTCAAATTAGCAAACAAAACAATATATTAAGCATATGGTAGCAAAAATTCACAGATAATAAGCATATAGATGTAAAACCAACCGGTTAAACGTGATATACGAAAATAAATTCGTATTAAATTCAAGTTAGCAGAGAAAAGAATATATTAAGCATAAGACAATATATAAGCATTTATAACGGAAATAAAAATTCATTAAAAAAATATAAATGAGTATTAATATACTGAAATTAACCGGTTAAACGTGATAAACGAAAAAAATTGTCTTAAATTCCATTTAACACAGAAAACAATATATTCCTTACACCAGCAGTGGTTTGCTGATTTTGATGACTATGGTAAACTATTCTGTCATCTTAGATAAAAATATTTTTTATTTCAATTTAATCATCTATTTATGTCACACCTGCCATCCTCTGAAAGGTTATTGTTAGAAAAGCATTAACAATATATTACCTTGTTAAAATTTTACACCATAAAAATTGGTTTATTCTCATAATTTTAGATGACATTAACCAATAATAAAAATAAAAGCATTACTTAATTATTTAAAATGCACATGCACATTTTTGCGGCCTACGGAAACAGATTATTTTAGAGGTTGGAAACCTCATGTTTCTTAGAGCTGTTAATAATTAAGAACACAACGTAAACAGCCGTGTTACAAATTAGCATTCACCCCTCCTGCCGTATTTTCTTCCTTTCATCCCGAACCGAGAACCGGCATCTATCTACGAAAATATTTCTATCTATTCGTTGTTAAAAAATTCAGAAGAAATAATAATAAATAAGCAAAATATAAATCTGCAAATGCGAACAACGACAGTGATAATTCATCAAAATGAATGAAAGAAGAAAGGTTGCAAACTTCGGACAAGCGAATAGGATAAATCTGCTGGGTTACCAGGTTTGAACTACTATCGCCAAAGTTGGCGATGTTTACATTTACCGGGTTCTCTGCGGAAGTGCTTCCTATTTAGTGCCTAAATGAAAATCTCCAAATGTTTTATTATGGAAGGAAAAATCAAATGCGCATGCATAAAGCATACAAACAAAAAAAAAAAAAGTTTTGTGGCTTTGAGGTCCGGATTTTAGATCATTCCGGATAATGGACATCTGGATTTTGGACTTCGCACTGTAGTCAAAATGACTTCCCATGAATTTTTGGAATTCGGGTGTACCTCTCTCAAAACTCAACTCCGTAGTGTTCCGAAGGAGATGTTACAAACACACAAACAGATGCGCACAGAATACACGTAATCCAAATTTAATATTTATATATATAATTGGCTGAGCTATGTATTATCCTTAAAAAGTTCCAAGTCATAAGCAATAATTCATTTTCAGGGTGAAAAACAATTATTTAACAAAAACAAGCTCAGTTATTTAATTTCAGCAACACGAGAGGATTACTTTTCAGAGTACCATAATTTATGGAATTCTATTCTTATTTACTATACATAGGAGAATTCTGCGACCATACACATACACATCCTATACAAACAGTCTATTCTGCAATCAAAAATAACTCAAACAATACGCTATTAGAGTACAAGTCAACACAAAAACATATAAGTGGGCGCACCAAGGATGTGGGCTCTGCAAGGATCCAACCAAAAAAATCATAAAAAATAAAATATAAACTTATAACAGTTATATAATCAAATAGCTCATTTTATCAACTTATTGAAATTAATTAATAAAAGTACAAAGTAAAATAAAAACAAGCTTTTAAAACTGATTAATGCGATAACGGCAGGTTACCTCGATTATGCGATCGAATGCGATTACCTCGATTACGAAAATATTAAGTACGCAATTATTTTTCTTAACTTTTAAAAAAAGGATATGCTTTAGAGGACAAGAATTTGATAAATAAAACTGTGATATACAAAGAGATCAACACATTTTGACGCACGTGGAGCCGGTTCGATTCAGAACTAATTAAGCAGATTTAAAGACTACGACATTATATATATATGTTTATTTATACCATTTTGCGTTCGCACAGGCTGCCCTGTTGACCTCGCACCACCAAGATGAAGCATACCACCAGTAGACATTTTTAATTAAACTTCTGCTGTAAAACGAGAACAAACTCACACTCTCTCCTTTCAGACAACGGAAGTGAAAGTATATAACATTTTAGAAGAACGCATCATGAACAAGGCTCAATTAGTAGATTTCATGGAAAACAAATTACAATTATTTAAGTGCTTTGAAAATACATTTTAATTAATAAAGGTAATACTTTATTACTTAAAAATATTTACAGTGAACATAATGTACAAGATTAAACATACTTTTGTTCTAAAATAATAGAGAAAATATTACACATTCTGATTGATTAAAATTATTCGTGGTTTGGAAGATGTTAAGCAGATTATAAACGGAAAATTATTCTGAAATTTTTGTTTACGTTCACCTCCTTAAATTATACAAACAAAAATCAATTTATTGTTATTTATTTTAATCAATTATTATTATATTTTCAAACGTGTCTTTTAGAGAAAATGGGATGGCAACAAAAGTTCCGAGAAATTTGGCTAGCCAATCACATTGATGGAGCGGCTTTCGATTCGCTCTCATCATCCCTCAATAAGAGGCGCATTATTCACAGGAAATCTTCACGAGAGTAACCTCCCTCTTACTAAAGTAACCATAGTAATCCGCGAAAATAAAAGATTTTCAGTGATTGTCTTACGTGATTGACATTTGTTTGAACCATTCAGAAAGAGCTACTTAATGGGCGGTGTGAGAAGATTCTCTGTGATTACCCAGACGTTTCAGTAAGTCTGTTAAGATGTTTATCATGACTATTCACTGTGGATTTAGATGTTAACGAATGTTTTAAATTACTAATTCTCTAACATATTGATTAATTGTGTATTTTACTTCAGCGTAATCATGCGAATAAAAATGCAATGTTGAATAATGCAGAATCGAAGAAACTTTTTGCCAAATCTGTACCTGTTACCATTAAGGATGTATTTACCCAAAAGTCCCGGTAAGCTTCTAAATTATTGCCTGACTTTCCCTTTCATAAATATATACTATGTGATATATATCTGTTATCTAGTTTCATAAATATATATGTACTGTATTATATCCCTTCCTGAGCCTATCGTCGGTTTTAACGGCAATGTTATCAAATTAAATAATTTTAACTTGATTTCTAATTTAACGGTGTGTTTTCAGACCTAGTATTAATTTTTTTTTTTTTTTTTTTTTTTTTTTTTTTAGAACGTGTAAGTTATTTTTAAGTGTGGAATGGGCTGAAGTTACAGATGCAATTTGTAAACGTGTAAGTATTAAATCGTACTTGATTGTTTATTCTTTTCTTACATGAGTTTCTGCGTTATTTTTCCTAATGTAAAATGTTATAAAAAGCAAAATATTAAAGTGTATTACGAATTCAAGAAATTTTAAAAAGTAAAATATAACGTGGCTTGGTTGATATTTGGATTATGGTAACTTGGCGATTTTTTGGTGACCAACTCTGCTACAGCAACCCTCTATTTTTTTTTTTCGAGGCCATTTTGTCTTCACGAAGTAAAGACATGTTTCTTTTCTTTTTATTTACTCAACACTTTTTCCAACAATCTACTAGCCGAATTACACTGATGCTAGAAATTTTAAGTAACAAAACTGCTTAATCATGACAAATATTAACTGCAAAATTGGAAAAAAGTGCAGAATCGCAAACTCCTTGCGAGTTTTTCAGAATAGCACATACACATAAACCATTTACACGTCGACTTATTTTTACTTAAAAAAAAATCTCAGAATTGCACAAAAATGGCATTGCACACACTCTTAACTTTATCCATCTACACTGCTATTTTCTCATAAATTACAAAAATTTGCACGAAAATGCAGGAAAATTTTCTTAATCTTTAAACTCGATAAAAAGCACATATATGAAATTACCTGATTGCGAAAAAGTATATACCCTTTCCAAGGATGAACATTTCCACATATAAAATAAATAAAATATCCAAAAGCTTTTACCTCTAAATTATTATATTATAAACGTCACCAACGAATTTATAAGCAAACATTAAAAATAGTTACAAATACTTAGTGTCAAATATTTAAATTATTTCCATATACGTTTACTTCAACTGAAACGTATACCAAATTCCTACAAACATAAAATTCACAAAATAACTATCATTTAATTAAAATATTAACTAAACCATGTACACGTCGACTTATTTTTACTTAAAAAAACATCCCAGAATTGCACAAAAATGGCATTGCGCACACTCTTCACTATATCCATGTACATTGCTTTTTTCTCATAAATTAGAAAAATTTCACAAAAATGCATGAAAATACTCAACGTATACCACTCAAACGTATTCCAAAATACTACAAACATATAACTCAAAATCACAATCATTAAATTAAAATATAATTAAATTAAAAAACACTACTTAAAATATAAATAAGCACATACATTAAATTAATAAAAATTAGATTACAATCCTAATTACTTTAAACTAAATCATTGCTAATAACAATTTTCCAATAATACCATATTAATTTATTTACTTCTTACATTTAGAAGAATGCATAAAAATAATATCCTCAAATGATTAAAAATACTAACTTACCTAATCTTCTTCAGAATCTTCATTACGTGGCACGCACACTTCCCTACAGAAAGAGTTCCAATCGGCTGCAGTACTACTGCTAATTTCTAAATCCGAAATACAGTAGTCAACTGGCAGTCTATTCACCAAGTAATAAGAAATTAATAAAATTTCACCCATACTCAAACTACTTTCTGCAAACCACGTACCCTTCCTTACACTCCGTTTCACAAAATGTCCATTTTCACCAGATTTCTTGCACCGCCATTCAAACTTATCTGTAATATCCTTCCTTTCACACAATCTCATTATTATTATCAGATAAACTCATTAAAAATTTAGAATTCACTTTACATAGCGCCATGCAATCCGAAAATTAATCAACACTATTTCACACAACACACAATGAAGCTTAATACAAAACAATTTTTCCAAATTTACCCTTTTCCGATTAAAGAACTGTAATTCGTCCATTAATGTCACATGACATATCTCATGATCTCTCATTTCCCTCACAAAAAATAATGCGTAATCGGAACTGAGTACTTCTCACATTATTACCAAAGTCCTAGGTAGTAACCTTTATCACCTCCAAAATGTCGCCAAACTACCTGTTGCCATATTCCAAAGATCAGCCCCAATTTATTGTGCAATAAATGTTCTTCAAAATTTTCTATAAGCCATGGTAAAAGTACAGATATTTAACTTCGTATAAATAATAACAAACATGAGATGTCAAACTCTGCTGCTGCATCTAAGTCGTCGTTAAAGAATTTCTTTAAATTGGAGAAATGGGTGGTAAGGAAGAAGAAATAGCTGCTGCACAGAAGGTGCTTTTGCGTACCATATTATTTGCTACAACCTAAGCTTTATGTCTATGGACTATACGTTCAAGCTGCTTCAAGTGGCATTTGAGCCTAAATTTACATATGTGCAAACCAAGGCCGAAGCAGTAATACTAAATGTTTTCATAGCCTTATGCTTTAAGAGCTTTGCACAATGATTTGGAAAAATGTTAATTTGTTTCATTCTTAACTGAAGTGTCCATTAACAAGAAATAAAACTTTTTCCAGTAATTGTTTGATTTATAGATTAGAATTACAGAGTTAGAGTAAAAATTTTAGCATTTAAATCCTTACTTGGTGAAACATCTAATATTGTGAATAACTATTTAACTAGCTGTTTTGGAAGCTAAGAAGATAATTTTTTACAAAAATTTATTGATCTTTATGCCAATAATATGAATTCTAACTTTGGAGGAGCTGATAGACATGGAGAAAATGATTTCATTGAAACTGAAACAAAACCTTAACCATGATTTAGTTAAGAGTCAGATGTGCAGTGCATAATATTATAAGAATGTCAGCTTATGTTTTGCTAGTTGATATAGCAATGATTATTTCTAAGATATATTGTTGAGTAGAAACATTGCAAATTTCTACTACTTCATAGAAACCAATTTTTCAATGATGCTAGGGTATTCACAATCAAGATCGCTAGCATTACTTTCCACCACTGAAAGTGTATTACAAATGAGAGTATTACACTTAATACAAACACAAATTGAAAGAGTATTACACTTAATACAAACACAAATTGAAAGAGTATTACACTGAAGGCTTATTTTCAATCTCAGAAAAAAGTGTCCCATGCTTATTTTTAAATTCTTTGAAAATGCAATGGCAGAAGCTTGGTTTCATTTTATGAACACTCGGGCTTCAATAATTCTTACAGCAAATGAAAATCAAATTGTGTCTGTGTTTGATGTAATTGCTTCAACAGATGCTCTGACAGCTTCAGTATTGAGCAAGATAGAAGATAGCTTTATTCCAGTAAATCTTAAAAATACTCTAGAAAAACTTGAAGAGAATGGAGACATGGCACAACGTGAAGTTGTTGAATTTCAAGAAGCGGTTGCTTCATTTTATCAGACTGCTGTTACTTATTTGGAGGAATGAACAATAAAAGTATTTCAGGAGTTTGAAATCTGCGACTGAATCATATTAATTGAAATCCCTTCTTGGAGTCAAGTTGAAACAGCCTTTTTGTTAATTAATAAAATGATACCAAATCATAAATTATTGGAAACTGATATATATGAGGAATGTGTTTACCTTAAACCGTATATCATGGAAGAAAAAAATATTGGAATGGTCAAAAATAAGATGTGCCTAGTTCAGATGTGGATGAAAGTAGTTGCACATTTCAGTAGAAACCAGATTCCTTCTTCAAATGTTTTAAAATTGCCAGAGTTTTTCTTTTGTCTTCTTGGCACTAATGGTGAAACTGAGCGAGTATTTAGCATTATGAACAGTTTTTCAACCAGTGATAAGATATAGCTTAAAATGGACATTTTGAAAGATATGTTAATCACCAAAATAAATTTTGATGAAAACTGGCTTTTATAAGAAGATCAAAAAGGAAAAAGATATTCTAAGAAATATTCATGCTTCAGAGAAATATAAGGCTACTTCATCAAAATAATTTAGAAAGGTTGCAAATTTATTATTTTGTTTAAAAATAAATACTGCATTTTGATTTATTCTTTATTTATTAAAAAATATTATATATCACTATTTAAAAATTTTTAAAAAATATGTTGATTTATATGACCTGCATACCACCTGCATCCTAATAATTTATTTGCTGGCATATAAGACGCACCCTTTTTTTTTTTTTTTTTTTTTTTTTTTTTTTTTTTTTTTTTTGTACACATTTTTAATGATAAAACTTTATTACTGATCATTATAATGAATTTACAGCATTTTAAATATAAAGTAATACAAATACAAAGTAATACTTTCTGAAAATACCCAATCTATCTTGGAAAAAACACCATTTAATCTTTTTCGTCAAAGCAAAGATACTCATATTCAGAGCTAAAGGAAGAGTCACTTGAAACCTCTTCTAAATCAGCATCCGAGTCCTTATACAACAAACTGTCCTCTGTACCATGTAATATATTACTAATGCTACACTCCTTAAATGATTTAACTACCATCTCTGTTTTCACAGCATCCCATGAAGCTTTGACCCATTCACAAATGATGTATCGACATATAAAATGCAGTATCGGTGTATAAGACGCACCCTGTTTTTCAGAGCTATTTTCAAATCAAAAAAGTTCTTATACACCAGCAAATACGGTATATAGCATCCTGAATTTCAAGCTTTGAAATCTTTCACCTTAGTATGGGTTCATAATAGATTGAATACATACAGAACCTGTGTAAGCTTGATAAAATTTATTTTAGAAAAAGAAACACTTACAGTTCTGGACCTTTCTGTAGAAGTTTTTGTACAACTTTTCTCAGTATCACAGAGATGCAATGCAAAGCACATATAAAAGGTGAAGCTCTCTCCAGTCTTATATAGTTTTCACCGGGGTGCCAAGAAATGTCTAGTAAATTCTGTGTTTCAAAATTACTGGAAGGGATGTGAAAGGTGAATACAGTTATAGTAATGTAAAGATCAATTATAGTTATTGAATTACAGTACCCATTACAAATATACAAGGGCCACACTCAATAATTGCCAAGTTTGGTGACTTTTATCAATTTCTCAACAAATTTGATTAAAAAAAATTTGTTACCTCAACCATACTAACTTCGTGATATCTCATCAATTTAGTGAGATAGCAATTTACTCAATTTCAAACAGACTTGCTCCTGTATTCTTACTTGTTCGATAAGAAGCTTCGCTTCTTTAGGTTTTGATGTTATGTTATAAAAAAAATGTTCACATATAATTTCACTAAAATTATTTATATATGTACAAAATGTGTGACATTTCCCCCTTCCCAAGACCAGGCCTGCACATCCTGGGCAGTACAATACCTGGACAGGAAGACCTACTTACAAGTGAAGCAACTCAATGTAGTACTACTATAGTAATATCTTCAGTAAATAACATAAAACAAATCAAACACTAAACGAATAAATAACTACATTATTCTACAAATTTGTATACAAATAGGACCATGGTCTTGGTATGCTATTTACATTATATACGCTATGGAGACTGTGTACTATAGTTATAGTAAAGGGCTAGCCCATCATAATTAATGTCTTGAGGCTTAGAATTTGATGACTTCGGACTTTTGGATTCGAACTATGACGTCATTCAGCCTGTTCATGGCAGAGATCCCAGGATGTTGGAGCTAATATGTTCAAAAAGTGCATCTACACTGTAACGTTCCCTTGGTTGTATTTCTTAGGTCCTTTCTGACCCACTCAAGCATTGTTAGATTTGCATCACTTTTGCACATCACCCTTTGCATTACTGTAGTAGAATTGCTCTCGAACTCTGTACAATGTCTTCATTATTCTGAAGTGGCCACGGTTGGAGTGCTATTTAGTTCTTTAAGTACATCTAGGATTTTGAAGTATCACTTCTGGTACAAAATACTATTTCAAATATGAAGTGAGTCTCAGAGAGCTCAATATTGTTTTGTCATAGGGCTATAGATCGAAATGTCCTGCTGGGTAGGTTTCCTGTTTGAAGACCGCATTCAGTTATGGATTTAATGTCACCATCTTCAAACTGGTCTTTCCTGACTTCTTCATCATTTCACATGTCTCAATTTCCTGATATTGAAAATGTAACTTGTTGTGCAACTGGATTAAGCTTTTCATATTTTCCTTCAACCCTATAACAATATCGGAAGCTTTCTGGACAGGATCTTCTACACAGGGCATCAGCATTTCTATGTGATGATCCCTTCTAATGACAGATAGTGATGTCATATTCCTGGATTCTCTGTATCCATCGGGCTATTTGGCTTTAGGGATTCTTGAAATTTAAAAGGCAGGTCAAAAATGCATGATCTTTGTGGAGCAGGAATTTTCTCCCACAGAGATAATGGTGGAAATGTTTTACAGTTTTAACTATATGAAGCAACTCTATCCTGGTGACACAGTAATTCCTCTTTGGTTTAGATCAACACTTGCTGCAGTATGCCACAACACATTGTTTAGCTGCAGATACGTTAAGATTGTAGCAGATGTTAAAGCCTCCTTCAATTTGTTAAATACATCCTGACATTCTTTGGTCTACAAGTACTTTTGCTTGCTGTCTATTAGCTTCTGAAGGTGTTTTGCCATGGAAGAAAAGTCCTTGACAAATCTCCTGTAGTAGGTGCAAAACACCAGGAAACTTCTTAGCTGATGGAAATTTTTGGGGTGTCTCTAGACTTTAACTGCTGACACTTTTCTGGATCCTTATACAGACCTTTGACAGAGATGACATGTTCAAGGTATGTCACTTCCTTCCTGAATAACTTATATTTGGCAGGGTTTAACTTTGGCTTCTTTCAGTTTCTGAAGCACCTTTCCAAGATTTTCTAAATGCACTTGAAAAGGGCAAATTTACAAAAAGTATCTCTTGAAGTTCTGGACCTTTCTACAAAAGTATTTGTGCAGTTTTTCTCAATGTCACACAGCACAATCAGTAGTTAGTCTTCAAGCTAATAAGAACATTAAATGCAACTCAATGCAAAGCATATATAAAAGGCAATGCTCTCACAGATATCTCAGTACTCTGAATTAATAGCTGAGAGCAGATGCTCTCTCCAGTCTTATATAGTTTTCACCCGTTTACCGAGAAATCTCTAATAAATTCTATTTCTCGAAATAACTGGAAGGCATATGAAGAGCGGATACAGGTGCCATAACATAAGGATCATTTACAGTTATTTATTTACAATGCTCATTACAGTTTTACAGCAACCAGACCAAAATTATTACCAAGTTTTGTGACTTTGGGTTATTTCTTGCCAAATTTGACAACAAAAATTAGTCACGAAAACCACCTCCAACTTGACGATATCTGTCTAAATTAGCAAAATAGTAATGGCTAATGTTAAATAGGCTTGCCCCTGTATTCTTGCTTTTCTGGCAAAGTTTCGCTTCTTCGCTCGTTCTATAATACAAATAAAAATACTACAATTCCACATATTATTTCACTAAAATTGTTTACATATGTGCAAAATTTGTAATAGTATTTATAATTATAATATTGTTCTGTAAGACTGACCATTACCTGACTATTGAAATAATGTCCTATACCAATATCTGTTAATTTTAAATAGGCATTTAAATTCTCTATCATCTACACTCATTACATGCATCATCATCACTGCATAGAGGAGATCATACGACTTTAGCAAATTAGAGGAAGAGCAGTTATTACTATAGTTATGATGCAAGTCAAAAGAGAGTGGAAATGTACTTGCTCTAAGTAACAGACTATAACATTTGTGTGGTTGAAACTACTATCCATTCATAAGTTGGCCCAAGTTTCAATTCCATCAAAAGGGTTGGTTTTATGGTTTCCTCATATATTATGCAGGATATGAGTTAGTTTCCCTTAGAATGTTCTCGATAAGGAAATTCTTTCCTTGAGACAAATAGCTCTTGTATGCTTTACCTTAATCAATTGACTAACTAGGTTTTGCATTATCTTTGGAAGATACTTTTTTAAAATTGCCTGATATAAATCAAAGAAATTTGTTTTGCAGTGAAAAGAAATACTCAAAATAAATTATCGGAATTAAAATTTTCGTAAAATAAGTCTTTAAAAATTTCTCATATACAGTAGTTTTTTACATGTGTTGAATGATATAAAAGAATGCACACTTTTCTTGATTTCAAGTGTATTTTGATAAACTTAATGCAAAATATTTTCAAATGCTTAAAACATTAGTATATTGCATTAAATTTATTCATTGAAAAAAATTAATGCATAAATTATTACAAAAAAAATTGTACAGCTTCAGTGATTTGGAATGTGTTTCGACTATGCATGAAGTTTTCACATACTTAACATACTAAATTTAACCAAAGACTATAGTGTCTTTGGTTAAACTTAGTCGTTAAATTAATTGAAAAAATAAATTACAATTGTGATCTTAATAATTATTTATGTAAAGTAACTTATATAAAGAGTAATGAATATTTATTTTATTTTTCTATTTCATAGGAACTTATAATTTCTTTGACAGATGAAAATGATCCTTTTTTCTTGCATAATCTACATTTGTCTGAAGAAGACTTTCAGATGTTTGTATTATTGCTCCTTCTGTATTTGCTTTCTCATTAATGTTATTGATTTATTTCCTTTCATAACTATAATACAAAATCTGAGATCAGGAATTATCGTGAGTTCAACAGTTCTTAATTTTAGATGAGTTTAAATGTAATAAGATGACATGTAGATATGACAGCATTCTTTAGGTCAGATGGAAGAATTTTAACCTTCTGGTAGGGTCAACATAATTTTAGAACTTAAAGGAGTACTAAGCAACAGAAATTAGGGTTGGCAGTTTTTTTTTTTTTTTTTTTTTTTGTTTTAATTTAGCGAAATACCAGGCAACAAAATTTAGGACACTCAGCTATCGCATCAGGTGGCAAAATGCATAGCACCATCCAGGGGCCGAAAGTGGGATCTTGGCCAACATCAGTTCAATGTCAATTAATGTATTTTTATTGGCTATGTTGCAACTCTCTAGCCAGCAGGTGTTGTGATACTTGTTTCACAGCTGAAGCAAGCTCCATTGATGGAGCACAGCAATGACGTTATTTAGCACTTCAGTTTCACAAGATGAAAAATACCCGAAAGATAAATGGCGACGTGCAAACAAAAATAGAAAACATCTTCTAACTTTTTAAAAATAAAAGAATTATTTTCTTAATGCGCTAACCGCATGTGGCTTTCAAGCCTGCGTTTTAAACATTGCCATTTGAATTGTTGTAAATTATTGATGGCTTCTCTCTACAGCCAATAAATCTTCTAAGGCCAATTAAAAATCCTTGAGTTTAACCCTTTGCAGCACGCTACTTTTTAAACTTGGAGTTTTAATTTATAAAAAAAAAAAAAAAAGGTAGGCAGTCTAATTAGGCCTAGAGGAGTACACAAGTAAAATTTTTTGAAGATAGCACTTATCTTTTAATTCTGTGGACACGCTGATTGAATAGAGCTTTAAAAAGAGTGCTGAAGCAAGCATTGTTGTCAATGAACTGACCGATGAGATGCAGAGAAACAAAGAATACAGACTCTCAGTTGTCGTAGATTATCGGTGAGCCCGGTCTGGGCACACCTAGGGTTCGCCGTTTGATTTTAGGCAAGATGTCAAGGTAAAAACTTAAAACTAATATAGAATAAGGAGATAAGCATACAGCCAAAAAAAAAAATAACATAGAAATTTCTTTTCAAACAATTCGTTTTATACCCTAAAAAAATCTGAAGATTTCTTTGAAAAAAGAGAGTCGTAAAAAACTAAACATGGCTAAAAAATATTTACTGGTTTGTGTTGAGCTGCCATCTACTATAAATAAAGAAGGTTCAGAGTAACCTATAAATCCTTTTGCATTCAGTTTTTCTGTGCGTACTTTGGGAAATTTTTAGGTGTGTCCAGACCTGACACACTGTGCCGCAAAAGGTTAAGAGCGGGCATGTATTGATCTGTGGCTGTCTACTCCCAGTCTTTAGTGATTTAAAGGGACAAAATTAGTTCCTAATGAACCACCCTGAAAACAGCACAGGTGAAAAGTAAAATTCAAGCTTTCTTTTAAATTTCAAAACTAATGGGCCGGCTAAATCAACTCTGACATTCTCGAAAACACAAACATCTTTAACTCTGTTTTCTGGTAGAGTAGCAGGCACAATCTTACTTTTGTGTCTCCTGCACCTGATGCATGCATATAAAGCTTTTTGAATCGTACCTCTGCTTTTCAAGATTCAAAACATCTCTTAAGTTTTGAAATCAATATGTGAATTCCTGCATTAGACAGAAAGATGTTATCAATTTCTTCTCAGTTGTCGTAGATTATCGGTGAGCCCGGTCTGGGCACACCTAGGGTTCGCCATTTGATTTTAGGCTAGATGTCAAGGTAAAAACTTAAAACTAATATAGAATAAGGAGAATAGCATACAGCCAAAAAAAAAATAACATAGAAATTTCTTTTCAAACAATTCCTTTTATACCCTAAAAAAATCTGGAAGATTACTTTGAAAAATGAGAGTTGTAAAAAATTTAACATGGCTAAAAAATATTTACTGGTTTGGGTTGAGCTGCCATCTACTATAAATAAAGAAGGTTCAGAGTAACTTATAATAACCTAAAAATCCTTTAGCATTCAATTTTTCTGTGCGTACTTTGGGAAATTTTTAGGTGTGTCCAGACCTAACACGCTGTGCCGCAAAAGATTAAGAGTGGGCGTGTATTGATCTGTGGCTGTCTACTCCCAGTCTTTAGTGATTTAAAGGGACAAAATTAGTTCCTAATGAACTACTCTGAAAACAGCACAGGTGAAAAGTAAAATTCAAGCTTTCTTTTAAATTTCAAAACTAATGGGCCGGCTAAATCAACTCTGGCATTCTCGAAAACACAAGCATCGTTAACTCTGTTTTCTGGTAGAGTAGCAGGCACAATCTTACTTTTGTATCTCCTGCACCTGATGCATGCATATAAAGCTTTTTGAATTGTACCTCTGTTTTTCAAGATTCAAAACATCTCTTAAGTTTTGAGATCAATATGTGAATTCCTGCATGAGACAGAAAGATGTTTATCAATTTCTGCACAGTTTTATGATTCTTCGGAAGTAACATCGGATAAATAAAATTTTCATAGTCTTTCCTTTCAGTCAACCTAGACTTGACATGTAAAATGCCTTCATCATCTTTGAACACGCTAATTGATTTCAGCTTCTTAATATCATCAGATGAAAACAGGGTACATACTGTCCTTAAAAGTCTGTAATTTCACTCAAAATTGCAAAAGGTCCTTAATTTTAATCATCTGAAAATTCTGTCTCTTTTTACAGCTGCCATTATAAGTGCGAATAAGCATTTTGGAGGGATATTTATGGTAATTCACTGACAAATATGATTACCTTTTAAATGAGTTCATGCGTTATAATTTGTTCCTATATCTAATATAAATGGTGCAATATTCGAGTTTCTGGGCAATATTCGAGTTCTGAGTTAAAAGATAAGCATTTTGAAATTATTTCATTTTTTATAATGAAAAGCTCTTAAACAACTTTCCACTTTTGCGGATGTAAATTCTTTTATTAAACAGATCTAAATTTTGCAACGTATCAAACTTTTTGGCGATTTTAATATCAATTTCCATAGAAAAATTTTAACTACGAGATTTGTGAATTTTTTGATGATTTTATTAGAACATTATTAAAGCTCTTAAAGAACTTTTCAATTTTGAGGATGTAAATTCTTTTATTAAATGGTTCTAAATTTCGCGATTTATCAACATTTTGGCAATTTTAAGATCAATTTCTATAGAAAAAATTTTATTTTGAGATTTCTGAATTTTTCGACAATTTTTTAGAATACTATAATATTAATAAATTTCATAAAAATGATGATAATATATGCAGTATGACAATATAGTGAAACCTAAGCTTTCGAAATTGTTTAATTTTTCTAATGAAGAGTTCTTGAACAACTTTTTGCTTTTGGGAATTTTAATTCTTTTATTAAACAATTCTAAATTTGGTGATTTTAATGTTAGTTTCTATAGAAAATTTTTTATTCAGAGATCTGGAAATTTTCGATGATTTTTTTAAACATTATGACATTGATAAATTTCATTAAAATAATGGTAGTATATTGAAATTATATTTAAGAAATAACATTAAAGTAAAACATTTTTATTCTCTGCTGTAATATTATAAAGTGACATTGCTTTTCATTTTAGTGATTTATTATATATTATTTTGGATGTGAAAAATAAACAAGGTCATAAATGATATAAATCATAATTTACGAAAGAAAGGAAACAATTCTAGGCAAAAGCTAAATAGCTATGTAATTAATTAAATATGTCTTTTTAGTTTTTTCATGGTTTTTCCCATATAATTGTTTCAGAATGTGCATCAGATTTCTCTATAAAATGAATTTTATACGCTTCTCCCCCCTTTTTTTTAAAGCCCAAAGGGACAATTTATCCAAAAAAGCTATTATTTTCATTTTGGCATTTTGCATCATCCACTCTAAAAATGGCATTTCACTTTCCAAATTTTAGAGCCCTGCATTATATTTAAAGAAATTAAATGGAATTTGTTTTATTATCTATTTCATATTTTGTAAAACTTGAATGAATTTCTTATTAACAAATTCAATTATTTCAAAGCGAACAATGGCAACACTGTACGAAAAAAAGCGTTTTTATCTCCAGCATATGAGACTGTGTATTTGAAATTCTAAAAATATGCTCTTTTTAAATATTTTGTGATACTGCTGTTGAATTGAATTTTATGGTTAAGTGCGAAGAACATGATATTTAATAAATAAAGATAACACACAAAACATTAAAAAAAAAGGCCCCTTTGGGCATAATATAAAATCTGAAAGCTTTCAGTTTTATTATTATTATTAGGTCTTGTCTTTGCATTGTATACTTTTTGGGGAGTTCCTCTTTTTTATTTAGTTCTGATTTTTACCTTTTAATGGGAAATTTTAAGAAGATATAAGAACCTTTAACCTGATCAGTAGCACTGATATGCATATTATGGAGTTGAATGTGGTATTTTCAGAAATTGTTTCATGCTGTTTCAATGGCTTATGAACTTCCATCTATATCTTGAAAGAAGCCTGCGGTTTCACCGAATGAGTGAAAATGCACTAAATTGTGGGGGAAGAAGTATTTAAAAAATGGGAGAAAAAGGAAAAGTGTACAAATTATTTTGCATAATTTTTTTTTTTTTTTTTTTTTTTTTTTTACTTTGGATGCAAAAATATGCACTAACCATGAAAAAAATATCCTTAATCTAAAAAGTAAATAAAAAGAAACACTTGAAAATGGTTAAAAATGTTTTGCATGCTTTGGTAATTAAATCTTTTTTATTATTATTAAATTAGAATTTAGGAAGTTTAACAAAGTACATATTAGTTTCTATTTTTATCATTTTTGAGAGTAAATGTTATCATTTGCCTCTTTTCTTGGTATTAAAGTAAATTTTCTTATTAAGAATAATTAATTTGTTCATTAGTATAAGAAAATAAAATGCCTTAGGATTAATTTAAAAGCAAAATAAAAATTAATTTCTTAAAACACTGGTTTGGCATAAAGTGTGTTTTTTTTTGGGGGGGGGATAAAATATAAAATGTTTGTGTTGTTCATCTATTAAGTATTGTTTATACATGAACACTATTAGTTTATATATTTGTGTGTGTGTGTCTCAAAAATATGCAAAAAAAAAAAAGTTTGTAGTATAAGTGTAGAGATTCTTCCACCTCTTAAAAAAGTTAATTTGATAGTTATAAAACTACTTTTTTAATAGTAATTATAATTTTTAGGAGTTCTTTTTTATATTTCTTTTATTACTTTTGTAACTCAGTTAAGGTTAATTTCTTGAATCCTCTAACTTTACTTAATTATTTTAATAATTTTATAAAATTTCAACTGTTTAATTCATTTTTTGCCTGTTTAGTTATAAATTAACTTAATTAAATAATTATTTTCTGTCAATCTTAGCAGCAATTGCACAGGATATTGGGTTGAAAGTCCTGTTTACAAGCATCTTTGGAATTTTATTAGCATATGTATTATAAAAACATTAGTTATTACTAGGCATATTCAGAAGTCAAGTTTCATTTAGCAGTATTTTTTCTATAGAACATATGTGTGGACATCTTTAGGCTCTCAAGAATATGCAATGATTTCTTTACGTTTTCAGAAATCTAACGATCTTTACACTCCCCCAAAAATATTCAAAAGTGTTTTTTTAGGCTGAGGTTATATGTCATGTTTCTTTCTATTTAAGTGTTTAAAACGACTATAAATACTGCCAAATATCAAAAATAATCTGGCATTCATTTTAATTAAAAAAAAATGTTACTAACAAATATTCAATTTCAAATTCATAAAATTTATAGACCATCTCATATCCAATTATTAATGAGAAGATAGACAAGAGACTTTAAAAAAGGCCTTAATAATGTTCACTATGAATAACATAACAGACCTTAGAGAAACTTGATTTGGTAAATTGACAAACATAAATAAATTTGCATGGACAGAGATTTCACATTTTTATTACTTTTTGTGTATTAAGCATGTCAAAAACTCTTGCACCAAATTTTCTAAAGTCAATTGAATTAACAAAATTTTTCCTTTCTTTGGGTTCCAAAAGTGATCTCTGCTAAAAGCAAGAAATTACAAGTTATATTATTTTCTGCATCCTCCTTCAGTATCATACAAAAAGTGATATATTTCTGAGTTTCTTTAATCCAGAGGACAAAACACAGGCATCACATATGCTGCAGAATAGAAATATTAGTTTTTTGAATACAGACATTTTTAAATTCCTCAGAAATTAAACCTGAAGTAATCCCACGGTTCAGACTAGGCACAAAATGAATTTTATTTTGTCTGCATTTGCAAACGTTTTTTGCTAGTATGATAACAAGGGGAAAAATGAAATCTAACTAATGGCTGTATGGACAAGCAGTAAACAAAAATTGATGCTGCATTATTATAATTAATATTTTTTAATCTAATTCAATTTTATTCTTTATGGCTAAATGGATTTTAATATGCAGTTATGCTATGTACTCTTTATATGTGATATACCTAAATTTATATTTTAGTCTGAAGGTCAATCAAGGGCTTTTGGTAGATTTTTCTGATTTCTCCCAGAAATTCATTGACTTAGTAGAAATATGTATTGTAGAAGAAAATAAAATGCAACCAAAGTAAGTTTGTTACTTTCCATGTTTAATTAAAAAGGTCTTTGAGTAACTGTATCAGCTAAAATAATAATAATAATAAATATAAAACCTATTGTAATCAAAGTAGTTAGGCTGTTAGGTAGCTGAGTAGCTTAACTCCTTCACATCCAATTCGTCCAATACGGCTCTACATTGAAACAACCAAAAACGGCCGAGATTGTAATTTTGTTTTCTTCCCTCCCCCAAGATATGCAGTAGCAAGTGCAATTTCCCCAAATGCATTGTATCAGTTTACTGCAGACAGCTTGTCCTAAGAGGTTTTATTATCTTTTGGTCAATCGTGACATTTCATTGTTGATTCTTTTGTGGTACAGTGTGCTTTTAAGTTTTAAACAACAATAAAAGAGTAGTAAAAATTTAAGGACGGGGTCAAATGCTAATGAAATATTTGTTAGGAAGTACAAAGGATGTCATTGGAAATCTTCACACCTATTTTCTGCATTAATGGACGGGGAGGGGAGGAAATTGCTGTGAAACTTGAAAACTATTTCGGGCGGTCTGGTATTTTGAAGATATAAGTTAGCGAAGGGTCTGGATTTCAAAGAGTTAAGCCATGGAACCCTGGTAATTTCATCCTAGATTTAAGCTCTTGTGACAGGCTGTATAAATGCTTTCAGTTTTCCCATGTTTTATTCTTTTCCTTCATTCCACAGTTTATGTAAATGCAAATCAGTTTTACAAATATAGAAAGTTCTTTGATAAGCATCATTTTTTTTTCAGACAGCCTTGAAAATGTTTTACCATTATTTATTAATGAATCTGAAGAGGTTTTGGTTTAAGTAATCATATAATAATTTTAATTTAGAACCCTCACCTGGACCTATTTAAGTGACCTCAATGCTTTAATGATACATAAGGTATGAAAACAATAGATAAGATCTCACAATTTTATTGATTGTCTTGTAAAATTCTTAATTTTAATATTAAAGCAAATGGCTGTCTAAGAGTGACAAATTCACGCTATTTCTTTTGATATTATGTCATATAATATTTTATGGTGTAGTTTTGTGGATCAAATCATGTGAAATCATTTGATTAATTTGCATATTGTAACATAAATAAGAATATAATTTTTGTTCTTTAACTACATATATAAAGCTTGTAGAACTCTGTCTAAAAAGTCATGTTTTATAACCAACTACTAAATGAAAAAATTTTGTATTCACTGGTGTTCATACAAAATGTATGATGTGAATTATTATATGCATGGATATTTAATATTAAATAATTTTTATTTACTTTTATTTATAGTTTTTTATTTTATTAAATAATTTGTATTTAATATAATAAAAACTGTATTATGTAAAAAAAAAAATTATGAAAAAATATTTTTGCTCCTAGATTCCTATTGGTCTTAAATGTGAGTGAAAAAATAGGAAATGCTGCTTCATCATCACAACTTGAAGTTGTTGAAACGAATACATTTAAATTCTTGACACATTTATCCCTTAAATTCTTGGCTGCAACAGAATCTGCTGTAAAGCAATATTTAACTCTTTATTTCAGAAATTTAAAAGTAAGTACATTGTAATTCATTTTATTATGTGCCTTTTTTATCCTTAAAAATCATCTTTGTTTTGAATTTAAATTTGCTTGTTCTTTCATTTTGATAATTATAAAATGAAAAATGTTTAAAAAGTGTTATGAATTACAATTAGTATTTTTATGTACATTGATATTTATGCCAAAAAAAAAAGAGATTTTTCGATTTAATTGTGTTCTTAAATGCAAAGTGTAAAGGAAGCATGATAATGGTTTCCTTTTACTTTTTTCCCAAAATTATGAATGATGAAAAATGTAGGTAGAAGAATGGTTAAATATATGTGCAGGAATTCTTTTTTATAGATGTTATATGTTTAAGATTAATTTAATTTTATATTAACTTGTATTGATAAGAAGCAGGATAAGTATTCTAATAAAGAATAAGCAGTTATAATAAAATACAATAATATCCCAACTTGCAGAAGCTCAAACTTACATGACTGCTTATGTATCCATTCTTTTTCTAAATCAAGACAGAAACTGATAAGTCACTCATATAATAGAAGGAGTTAGTCTAGGAGGAAAATGGATTTGAAAGTTTGTAGTGATGCTATGAGCTGTTGGACTTGTATATCAAGGAACTGATAATCGATAACCTTAAAGAAATATGTGAGCAAATCAGTGCTCAAAGCTGACTCCATATATCCAGATTCACTAGAAAAGCTTGACAGAAGATCTTGGTACAGCTGTAAAAGAATTACAAATTTTGGAGAAAATAGACTCTAATAAGGAATGCAGTCTACATAGAAGGCTAAGAATAAAAAAATATATATTAGCTTGGTGTGAAGAAATTTTACGTGTTAAAAAAATCAAGTCTCATATAGCCATCTGCATTGAAAGAGCTCTGTTTTATGTTGCACATATTTTTTTTATATCATTCTGTATCGATATGTATAAAAACTACATTCTTTATAGTACACTTTTCTTCTAAAAGTGTTTTTTTAGCTCTCGGTCCCATTTAAACTAAAATTCACATATACAGTGAAAAGTCTTTAATTCGGACGTCCATAATCCGGAATGATCTATAATCCAGACCTCAAAGCTACAAACTTTCTGCGCATGCGTCAACGCATGCGCATAATACCTTTACGCATGCACATAATATGTTTGCACATGCGCATTTAATGTATAACAGACGGTATAAGTTAAGCTCTAATTATCTATTTCAGTTAATGTTGCAGATTGCGTTGTTCCTTAATCTTCTAATTGGATCCGGCTTATTAATTTTTGCAGACTGTTAGAGCAGTTTTATAAAAGAAAGCTTTAACTTTCGATTATGTCAAAAAGAATTTCCGATTCTGGAGCTACCAAAGGATCTACAAAGCGAAAGCATGTTTCGATGTCCATCAAACAAAAAGTGGAATTGCTTCAAAAAAATGGATAAAGGCATATCCTTTGTTTCTCTAACCATTCTGAAATCTGTTTATCAATTTCACGCTGCTCTGGGGGGGGGGATGGAACAACGCAGCGCACAATGAACTGGAAGTTGATCTGTCAGCATTATCCTTATCTTCGGGGCAGATGTTTTTATTTTATTCGGCTTATAACTCCTTACTAAATGTAGTATTTCATCTCGATGTACTCCGTCTTTGATATGATTTAAATCAAATTCCTCGTCATTATAAATATTGCGAATAGACATCAAATAGTTTTCTGGTTGCAATTTTCTAATTTCGACTATGCGTAATGTATGCTTTACGCATGCGCGTGTTGAAAGATATGTTTAATAAAGTAAACAAATAATTATTAAGCTTTTTTTTTTGTGTGTGTGTGTGTGTAAATTTTGATACCCTTTAGATCATAATTGCTCTTTATTTCATAAATTATGGTTTCATATTTTTAATTTTATAATTTCTGCATGCCATCTTACCAGATTTAAACTGATGATCGATAATCCGCAACCGCCGAAGTCACGACGAGTCCGGATTAAAGACTTTTGATTGTACCATGTATTTCCAAATATAGTAGACCAACTCCTATATAAGCTGAAAGTGCATTTGATACTTTTATATTATCTTGTCACACGACCTGATGACCATGTCCTGTAGAAATCCACAGTAGCAAATGGCAACCATTGCCGAAATTTATGTGATTGGTGGATAATATATAAGTAACATACTTTTTTCCTTCAAAAATTTTAATATATATGCTGAAATTGAAAAAAAAAAAAAAAAGGCTAACCTTCAAACATGTCACCGTGAGGGCAAAAAGATTGCCAAGCAGGTAAAACATGTGGATTATTTCACAATCAAATTTCTGAAAAGTAAAATGCAAGACATGACAATTTTAACTCTGGTAACCTTATCTGAAACTAACACATTTTTTTTCATTCATTTGTTGTCCTGCATATGATCTGTGATCTCTATGCTAGTCTTATTTTCTGTGACTTTTTATTTTTTGTCTGGAAGATGAGCAGGAAGACAAATTTATCCACTGTAAGTTACAAACTGCAGGTGATCGCATTTAATGAAAGTTCTAACATCAGTAGGCTGCTTGGCATTTCTCCCTAAATGAAAAATAAGCTCAAGAATGGAGCAAATTTTTGAGTTTTCCTGTTGACAGCAATGGACCAATAATTATAAACTATTTCAGAAACTTATTGTCATAAAATGAATTTCTCATTTCATTCAAATTTTTTTTCATAAATTTAAGAAATATAAAGTAAAGAAATAAAAAAGTGCAATATTTGGCAATGATTGCTTGTTCTTTTCTGACCTAAAAATACCTATACTTATTTGTAGATTAGCAGATCTGTATGTAAGCTAACACTGGTAATTTAGCTTTAGAAAAAAATTTTGAAAATTCTCGGCTTATACATTATATTTAAAGTGAGTTTCAGGGGATTACTGTATTATAATAAAATACTTCCACATTAAAACACATAAAATAATTTGGCCTTTGATAAACCTATATGTACTAAGCTGATCGAGAAAGTATGTGCTGTTTGCACATATCTCCTGTACATCTGATAGCACGCAGGTCGTGAATGCATAGTTACATCGTTCAACTCGAGAATGAATTAGCCTACCATTTTGTATGTTTATGTTAATGTTTGAAGTCATTGTTTTTTTTTTTTTTTTTTTTTTTTTTTTTTTTTTTGGTAAATAAATAAATCAATTGGCACACCAGCTGTGAAATGAGCCATTATCAAGTTTTTGAAATCAAGAAAATATTGACTTTGTAATTTGTCATCAGATTAGTGACTGACTCTAGTGTAGAATTGGGTGCCCCTTCAATTAGCGACAATTTTTTTTTTAAATTTTGGCAATGAAACCTCACTTCTGGTTACCATGATAGTTTTAACTTTGTTTTAGCGTTCTGATTTTATTTAAATGAAAATAGATTGATGTGTACATGGACAAATTTAAGGCAGTGCGCAATGCCTAATTTGTGCAATTCTAGGATTTCTTTTGGTGAAAACCGATCGATATGTACATGGACACAGAGTTTGTGCAGTTCTTTAATTTCTTATTTTGGTTTTTTGTAGCGGCCATCTTGAAATTGGGCCTTCCTGGTGCCGATTTTTGCGTCAAAAAAGAATCGCCAAAAAGCAAGGGACACCCAATTGTAAATTTTTACCGTGAAACTTATGGAATGAACACGATGATTGAAGGTATGGTGTGAAAGCAGGTTAGAATGTTTAACAAAGAAAGGTATACCATTTGTTATCATCAAAAAAGCAGTACCAAATTTATTCCTATAGGCAATTTGCAACATCTGATTCGTCAGTGCATTTTCAAAACATTTCATGATTTTTATTACACGAAACTGTGACTGAACGTTTGCACTACAAAAAATTGTTCACAATGGGTACCAAAAACACTAACAGATGTTCAGAAATGGAAATGCACACATGGGAGCAGTGTTGGAGTTTTTGCAACTTTATGTGACAAAAGGAAATGAATTTTAGCAAAAGATTGTCCTATGGGATGAAATATGGATTTGTTATGAGACACCTGAAATGAAACAACAGTCCCTGAAATTGAAGCATACTGGTTCCCCAAAACGGCAAAGTCATCTCCTTCTACAAGAAAAATCATGTGCACCACGTTTTGGGACTGTAAAGCAATTTTGTTTGTCGACTGAATGGAATAAGGCATAGCAATCAACACTACAGCAACACATATTGTGCTCATACATGAACTCGCACAGCTTCATACCTCGCACGTAACGATACTGCTTGGTTAATTTCCCTGGGAACAATTCTGTCATCCTCCTTATAGTCTGGACCTATCTCCATCCGACTTCCATCCCGACAAGTCCAGATTAAAGACTTTTGACTGTAATTATATTTGTGTATCAGATACAAAATCTAGATCTGAAAAACTGGTTTCGAAAAAACAGGTGCATGGGTCCCTTTAAAATATTTTTCTACTTTATGTTTTCAAACTTATTGATATTTTGTTTATATTTCTGAATATAATATAAATGTGTGCATTAATTTAGTAAAATTGTTAGATGTTAAATTAGGCATGCTTGATCGCTATTTGATTTTTTATATTTTTACTTAATTAACTAAAATAAATAATATGACAAGGTGTTTTAGTTTTATTTTAGAATTCTTCTCATGATGCCTACTTTGAGAACAACTGGGCTAAAGAAGCATTACTTAATGCCTTATGTCAGCAAGGAGGTAGTAATAGCAACTTTAAAGATATAAGTTTCATGAAAAGAATGACTGCTTTTTAAAATGCAAAATAAATACAATAATAATTGAATAAAATATTGAAGTTGAGTGTATTATTTCACTTCTGGTTGCTATTGACAAAATTTTACGTATGTGAGCTTTTGACACCAAAAATAAAGAATTATCTGCACCCTTGTAGAAGAGACCTGAAAATTATTCATGAGGCAAAGTAGTATATGACACTTAGTATGTCACTACTATGTGACATACTAAGGCAAAGTAGTATGTCACTAAAAAAATTATAGTAAATTTATGTGACAATTCACAAAGTCCAAAAAGTATTTGTGTAGCAACCCAGGTATGCTCGTGTCTGTTTTGACTGGCGAGCAAGGTGAAAATTGTGTGGAGACAAGTTTACAACTTTTCACTTTTCGAGGAGGGGGTGCAGATAATCAGAAGATGTCATTCTTTTTTTAAGGAATAAAATATTTTTTCTCTTGAGGTTTTCAGTTTCTTGTTTTAATTAAAGAACTTAACAAGGAAAGCAAATGAAAATATCAAAGGAAAAATTACTGAATCTTTCTTTTTATTTGCAGTGGCACTCATTAGATGAAATAAATAACTTAATTACATTTAGCACGTGGCACACAATTTGGTGTTTTTGTGGGAAATTTTCCACAAGTAACTGGAAAGTGCCATTAACTGGAAAGTGCCGAAATGAGTAGTGTTATATATTTAAAAGAACTTAAGATGAATTTTAAGAAAATAGTTAATTTAGCATTTTAATTCTAGGCAGAAAAACATCAGCTGGAAAACAGGGTGAATTTTCTGGAAAAAGATTATAAAGACAAATTATCTTCATGCCAGCAAGCTCTTCAAAACAAACAAGAAGAAATTGAAATTGTAAAGAAAGAATTTACTGCTGAATTAGCAGCATGTGAAAGCAAGCATGCAAAAGAAATCATAGAAGAACGTGATAAGTTATTAAATGTAAGTTTTGCTTTTGCCTGTTTGTTTATGGAAGCTTAAACAGGATTTTAATTCTTAAATGAGATTATTATTCCATTATAGAATTATTTCCAAATTTCAGTAAATTCGTGTTATGTAATTAATAATGTTTTTAATCTTTTAAATATAAAGAGAGAAAATTTCCTTCAGTTTTTCTTATCACTCTAGAGGCATTTTCAGTATGATTTAAATGGAAAAGAATAATTTTCCGAATTTAACTGTTTGCAGGGTTGCCACGCTACCTGGAAAACCAGAAAAAGTCAGGGAATTCGGAAATTGACCAAAAAATTCAGGGAAAAGTCAGGGAATTTCATACAACGATCCCACCAAAAACGGCGAGTTTTGCGCCGACGTCGGAAGAGATTACTTTTTTGGCGAATTGTGTATCACGTGAGTGTCATTCAGGCAGCTGGCATAGAGCCAATTTTCGCAGCTCCAATCTGATTATTTTTTATAGAACATACTGTTTATAGATGCAAAGTATGTAATTTAGTTTTGCATTGTGATTGTGGTGAAGTTATTCATGCTTGAATCTTTCAGTGAAACATTTACTAACAGGGTTGCTACGCTACCTGGAAAACCGGGAGAACCGGGAAAAGTCAGGGAATTCGAAAATTGACCAAAATATTCAGGGAAAAGTCAGGGAATTTAAGTATTTTTGTCAAAATCTGGAAAAGTCAGGGAAGTTCATGCAACGATCCCGCCAAAAAAAGCGATTTTTGCGCCGACGTCGGAAGAGATAACTTTTTTGGCGAATTATGTATCACGTGAGTGTCATTCGGGTAGCTGGCATAGAGCCAATTTTCGCAGCTCCAATTTGATTGTCTTTTAGAAAGGCAAAGCAAGTTTCCCGCAACTTTTGGTTTCCAGTAACCTCGAGAATCGCATGTGCAGTGCATGAACTAAAGAAAATACCTGTTCTCATATAAAACAAAATGGGTTTAATCCTAGTATACGGTACCATGAAGGTTAGAATAAAAAAATATGTATTGTAAAGAAGGAAAACCTCTCTGTAACAGACGTGGCTCCGTTCCATCATAGAGGGAAACAGATCTGTCGCCAAAGCTCGAAACCGGTGTCAAAGTTCGAAGGTCACGTTATCAAGAGTTCATAAAATGAATATCGTTTAAAATTTCTTTAAACTCTAAAGGAAAAGAAAATATTTTTTGGCGCAAGTAAATTAATTCATGGATTAGTTATTTTGAGGGGGGGAAAAAAACTACGAAAATCCGTTTTTAAAATTATTGCGAAAAATCCAAGAAAAACGTTCTCTGATAAAACGTTTCTACTTAGATTTTTCTCAATAATCTAGAAACGGATTTTCGAAGTTTTCTTTTTTATCAAAGAACGTTTCTTCTTAACACGTGTTTCTCAATATCCTGTACACATCGCGGAGAGGGAAATTCTGGCCACCAAATCCCTTGGCAAATTTTCTCTCCGCTTTCTAGCAGCGTAATAGCATTTACGTGTATGGAACCTTTTCTTCTGTACATAGACGTTCTTTGGTTAAAATAATCTCCATGCATGATACAGCGGGATTTGGTGACATGGTGATGAGCAGTGAACGGGTCATTTTGTTCTTGGTGACATTTTTCAAAATCATGCGAAGGCTGTACCATATACTAGGATTTTACCACAAAATCTTTTTTTGTTTCTTTTCTTTTTAATAAATACCTTGTCATTTTGCAGTAAAATTTTTAGTAATCTCTAGGCTAACTATTTTGCATCGTAAAATTTAAAAAAAAAAAAAAAAAGTAATCTCATCTAGGCTAACTATTCTATTAAACTATTCTATATTTTCTTTAATTATCAATTATATTATTGTTTAATTTTTTATGCTTTATTTTATGTTTCATATTGTTTAATGTTGCTTCTTCCCTCTAAATTTATTTATCATTAGTAAATAATATATCCAAATTTCAGGAAATTTTCTCTGGCATAATCCTGAAATTAATTCTAGCAGTATGATGACATCACGAAATTTAATGCACATATTTTTTCCTTATGTATGCTGCGAAATAAATATAAAATACCTCAATTTAGTAAAAAAATATCATTAAATAGATTTCTTTCTTTCATTTAGCTGCAGAATGTCTGCAAAAAAAGCCTTATTTTATTCCAGATTGGGCAGATTCTAATCTCAATCTTCAGTGGAGAAAACAACTCTTATTATAATTATATTTGTGTTTTCAAGTGTTAAGGTGCCTTTTAAGAAGACACCTCACACAAATTAAATTTACCTGAAATCTAACCTAACTTTTAGCATTGCGTTGTGATTTATAAGAACCGGATTAGCCTCGTGTTGATCATGAGTAATAATTAAATAAAACGTACAATTGTTATCCAATGTATATATCTTAAATTTTATTAAGTTTCTTAAGTGGAAAAGTAAACAAAATTATCAAACAAAGTGTACCAAGAATAATTAAGAATAAATGTCCTCTGATATTTATTGAATAATTAAGTAAATTTGCTACACAGTACAAGTAATACCATAATTAATTTACCTCTTAGCACAGCCAACGTACATTACGCGAATAGACTGGAATTTTCTCGAAACATACCTGGAAAACCTGGAAAAGTCAGGGAATTTCATTCTCCTGTTTGAGTGGCAACCCTGTGTTTGTTCCATATGTATTTGTATTATCTTCCTCTAGTCCCTTCATTTTTGATAAAGCCTCTTCCCACTTTAGTTATCTTGTTTCAAAAGGTAATGTTACTGGTTAGATATTTCTTTATGATTTTATATCTAAAAACTATCAATCTTAATCAGGTTATCTTAGCATTCAAAAATTTTCCAGGTTACTTTCAAGATTGGAAATTCCAAAATAAAGTTTAAACTGTGTCGTAATTAAATAATGTGCTTTCAAAAATGGTATAGCTAACTAAAAAAAATTAAAGGAGTGTAAAAAAAATATGGAACAACAATTTATGAAATGGAGAGGGGGAAAATAGAATGAATGGTTTTTTACATTAAGTTTGTTTATGATAAACAGTTGTGAAACCATTTTTTTTTTCCTGTACAAGATACAGCCATTAAATAATGAAAATTTTCTTATAGAAAAATTTTATTAGTAATTAACTGAAAATCAATTGCATAATGCTTCACATTAACTCCCTACAATTCAGTGCACTCGCACCAGCATTCATTCAATGCAAAAAGCAGGTGTGAAAACCATTCATAGTTACATTATCAAAACAAACATCATGTTCCTTTTAATGTCTTCAAGGTGATTAAATTGGTGTCCTTTTATTGCAGATTTCACCTTTGTGAAAAGAAAAAAGTCTCATGGAGAGTAGAGTGAATGTAGAATTTTGGGGGTGGGAACATATATATTGAGTTATAGAGAGTATTAAGTTATGCATTATTGTCTTGTAAAATCCAATTTCTTGACACCTTAAATTGACAAATTTTCTCAATAAAATGCTACATTAACTGTCTTAGTTTGATGTAAAGAAGCTTATCAAACCATAAAATATAAGAAAATTTTTATCATCTCTTGAACAATGGATCTTTTTATCACCTTACATGCTTGTGATAAGCAATGTTAATCATACACACCATACAATTTCTTATAAAAACGGATGATTTTCCACCCAGTTTAATTGAAAACTTTAAAATGTTCTCTGTTAGATTTTTTACTAACCATTTTCATTTCAAGTATTCCAGAGATACTAGTTTTTACAAATCTTTTTTAACTCCGCATCTTTCAATACTGCTATAATTCAATTTGGTAAGCATACACTGCAACATACTTTGCTGTGCCTATAGCGGTTCAATCCAGTATTTAAAATTCTGGAACTATAAATCAGTTTTTTTTTTTATTTGATTGTCACAATTCTCATTTTGTTTCGTTGCTTTTTGAATCATATAGGTAGAAAAACTCAAGGTAATTTACCTTGTCTTTTAGGTATGCAGAATGATCTAAATGTACTTCTGATTTCTACAGTTGTTTAGATATATTACATTTTTAGGTGTATAATTTCTATTTATAGGATTATACATGTTAACATTCCGTATTTAACCATTTAAATGCTGATACCTAAATAGGTAAAATTTGTAAAAAAATTATTAAATTAATTAATTTAAAAAATATATATAATATAATTTCTTATGTTACACATTTATTTCATTTGCTATTAGAGTAAAATTAAAAGATTATCTTTTACATAATATTTATAGTATATAGACGTTTTGGGCTAATTCTTAATGTCTTTTAAATTTCTTAATGTGAAAACCAGTAAAATTAAAAGTAACTATTTAATAAGAAAGAGGAAGCATGAAAAGGAAGATGATTCTAGAAAAGATAACTGAGTTCTAGAGTCATTTCTAGATCTATGTGTGCGCTTGTAAGGTTTATCCTGAGTTTTTAATAGTTGTCTTTAGTTAAAGCTACTTTCCTGTCCCTTCTAATTTCAGCTAACAAATTTCCTGCCAGTGTGTGTTTTTAGAATCGCGATTCATGCAAATGAAGGAAAAAAGTCTAATCAGAATCTCCTTCTATCTCATTACTGAATATAAGTTCCACTGACTTCGTTAGAGAGCCAGCGATTCTGACTAGTGCACATTTGCCTTTTAGTTACACTCTAAGCTACTTAAATTACTTGATACTTTTTTTTTTTTAATTTGATTAAGAATGCAAATGTCAAAAAATTACCATGGATACATGAAGGTAAAGAATATTAATATCTAGTGTCTAGCACATTATCTAACATAAGACATGTTTCTGGTGTAGAGTGAAGCTTTGGATAATTTTGGTTAAAATTCATGCATTTGAGTTAATGAAAGTAACTTTTCAATTTCTGATTATTTGATCTCATTAATTTTTGTTTTAGTCTATTGAGTGTTGCTTAGTTTTTGATGCACTTATTGTTTGTGATTATACATTTACTCCACTATTTTGGTATTTTAGTTTTATTAAACACATTGAAAGAAACTTCTTTGAAATGTTTATTGTTTTTTCAGTTTGCAGATTTTCTAA